ATATTGAATTTGAATTTCATCTAAGCAAATAGCTGAATTTCTAGTATCCGTGCATTACGAATGGAATGCACTCTTAATGATACTGACCAAACAAACCCTATATCATTGTTATTTGGAAGAGGTTGTTCGTAGTTGATTTAGTCCTTATTCATGTTTCAATTTTCTTTGATCTTGTATTTTGGATTTGGTTGTTGTCTTTACAAGCACCTTTCAAGCCTTAGGTTGGATATCATTATGATTTGATCGTATTGGGAGGATCTCTTAAGTGGAGAAGAGGATGATATATTGTGTTCTTGGTAGAGTAGGTGGGGTGGTGAGGAGTGGCTAGGCTGAAGATATCTATAGGTTGGTCAAGGTTGATGAAAGCGAGTATCATGGACAAAAGGAGACACGGAGGGTGGTGTATAGGTGGGATTTGTGCATGTGGAAAATTGATGGCTAAGAGGTTAGGGTTTATTGTGATGGTGAATAGAAGAGAGAGCTGACCAGGGTTATTGTGTTGGGATTTGGTAGAGAGAGAGAGAGAGAGAGAGAGAGAGGGGAATAACAAACCAACATCATGATAATCAAAAGGTTTCACCAAAGAGCTTCAAAGCAGGGAAGAGTCCACCAAGCTCTCCACTATAATTGCAAACAAGCAACCCTCAATATTTTATTCAATTGTAATTTTTTTTTATTACATGAGAGTGGCATTTTCGACCTATGACAGAGATATCATGAAGTAAACCTAAGGTGGGGTGGTTGTCATAATGTATGTAACTACACTTTTTATTAAACACTTTGTATGATTGTAGTGGTTGATGATATGCTATTTGTAAGTAGATTGAAACCGATCTTTGACATATTTTAAAATTCATTCACCAAAGGGAAGGGCCAAGCCTTGTAAGGATAGTGACACTTGATTTTCTCGCACATGTAGAAATCCATCAAGGAGAACCAAACCAATCCATTAGTCTATCTTGCTTAAACTTTTGTGCATGATTTAGTGATGATTATAATGATGGTGCTCATACTTGATGCAGTGCTGAGATATATGATTTAGTTATTTTTTATGCATATGCTAAGGATGTGTTGCATCACCTAACAGCCTTTTAAGTTAATCCATTCTAATATTTGGTGTTGAAATTTTGGCCTTTGTCCCACATGATTTTATTTCTTTTATTGATAATCACTCTTATATAATATGAATATCTTTACTCATATGCATGTTTAATGTTTTTGCATGTATTTTAAACTTCTTTAAAAAATAAAGTTTATTTTTCGACTATGATTTAGACTATTCATATGATAATGCTTTTAGAGTTTATGCAATCTTAATTTGGCTCACTCTATGTTGATAATAGGATTATTCATCATACTTCATGTCATTATTCATCTCATAGAATGTGGTTATTAAATGGAAGCATCATTATGAACTTGACATAATCCAAACCGAATGTTCCCTGTCAATTTTGGGCTGAGGCTCTATTGATTGCATGCTATCTTATTAATAGGATTCCATTACTATAATGTCACCCATTCTTCATTGTGTATTCTTGGTAATTTTTTCTTTTGCACTTGGGGCCATGGGAAGCTCTAGCTATTTGTATTCTTGCTTAGAAACTACTTCATGTACTATAATTTTTTCCTCTTATGAAAAAGTTCAATAATAGCTTTCTTATAGTAGCTATCATGCCTTAGTAGATCTGATTGTCTAAACATGCTTTGCACCACATAAATTTCTATAAAGTAGCAAGTTGTAGCGAAACAAAATTGTTGACCTACTTGAAACAAAAGCCACGAGAAGTTTTACAAACATACCTTAAAAGTTTTTAGCTATCTTTGTTTTGTACATTCCTTTTGTATTGGTGACAAACTCTCTTTCTTATTGGGCTTTTTAGGGCTTTGCTGGGGTAATCTTTTTCCCAACAAGGTTATAATTGTTATGACCTTACCATCATACATGCTTTACTTTAGTAGCTGTTACCTTTCATGAATCCTCCCGTTAGTTTTTTTTTTTTTTCATCCTCCATACTCATTTTCTCCGCCCTACTTGTCTTAGAGTATCTTTACCCATTTCTCCAACTCTAAATGTGTTCACATGAGGAGCTTATCTAACATTTCTCCAACTCTACATGTGTTACACTTGACCGATTTTTTTGGTTTACACCATCAAGTTTCATCCTAAAGGCTCTGTTGATAGACATAATATTTGCCTAATTGTCAGAACTTTTACTAAGTCTATGAGTTTACTTCAACGCATTCCCTCTAGTTGTCAGGGTCAACTTCATTTGGATTCTTTAATATGTCATCATTAAGGCTGGTCTTTATGTCCAAACGATATGAACATGCTTTCCTTTATGGTGGTCCCTTTGAAGTTGTTTATATGGAGTAATCACATTAGTCAAGAAGCGGCTAGAATGTGCAATCTCAACGAGACAATATACGGATTTGTGCACCCCTCAAATATGATTCAATAGGTTTTGCAAAGTTCTTGTTGAGTTTTACCTTGCCATCGCTTTTTTTTAGGCAGAATTCAGCTTGTCATTTTATTTTGGCTATTTTTGTTGATGATATCATCCTTACTAAGGGTAACCAGAATAAGGTTACTAATATAAAATGCTCTATAAACATATTTTTTAACTAATGATCTTGGTCATCACAAACTGGTATATAAATAAGGAGTCCACTCTCTCAATGAAATAATGCCCAGTGTCTTTCTTGAGGAAACTGGTTTTTGCATTGCAAACCTGTTAACACTCAAATGCTATAAGTAAAGAGGAAATGTTCGTGGACATCTCTCATTAGCAATTTTTAAAAAATTGATCTTACTATCACTAGACGGTTGCAAATAAGATTAATATATTTGAAGATGTTTCTTGTTATCAACAATTGGTTGGAAAATTGATTCCATTCCATCTCCTTTGTTGCATGGGTTGTCAGTCATTGCATGCAAACTTCTAAACATGAACATTGATAAGTTTTTTGGTGTATCATCGGATATATCAAGTAGCCACCAATAAGAAAACTGTTATACATTAATAATGGGCTCTTAATGTGGGTGTTTTCTCTGGTTTTAAAATTTGATGGGCCCATTACTAATAAAAAATTTAGATGCATTCATTAAATATTTATGGAAGGTGATCACATGGAAGAGCAAGGAACAAATACTGATAGGTAGATCAAATTCATAATATAGATCTATTTCATGCTCTAAGTGGGGTGTGGGCTTAGATCCTCTGGGAGAATCTAATTTTTCAGTCACACAACCCATGATTTTAAATCATGACAATCATGCTTTTATCCACAATGCACTAGTAATCCCGTGTTTTATGGAAGAAGAACTTGTATTGAGATTGATTTTCATTGTATTTGGGATGAAATTCTGTCAAAGAGTTTTTGCTCCAATATTTTCAGTTTAGAATAATTAACAAATATAGTTATTAGGACTTTGGGTTCATTTCAAACCATCAAGCTACGTAAAAATTGTTTTTAAATTGATATATATGCTCGAGCTTAAGAGAAAGTATTGGATACTGCTATACTGGAAATGCAATAGGAATATATTGCTTAGTTTGTTTTCTTTTTTCCTTTTTTATTAATTTATATCCTTATAATTGGGAATACTTTTCCGCTTATTTCACGTATTTTGTATTCATCCTATAGACTTGTATATAGGCGCTCTTATCTGAGTTAAATTTGATAACAAACAAGACATTTCCCTCTATATTTATGCCAGATATAATATATGTAGGATTAAAGATATACGCTAAGATGAACCCACGGTACGAATTATGAAGGACGAGGTCAGCAGTTAGTATATATCACATGAAAAAAAAGTGTTCTCTGAGAAAATGGAGCCATAGATTTGGGTTTGTGCACTGAAGGCATAGTAAAGCTGGTTCTCTTTCCCATTTTGAAAATTGTTCCATTTGATGCAGAAGAAATATACTTTAATGACCATATCCGATTCCTAAAAGAATCAACGGAGACTACGGATTTATAAATTTAGTTCAGATGATTGGAACATGATTGATGATGCATGAAAATAGAAAAGCTTTGGGTTAGGATATTTTGATCTAAATTTGGTTAGGATGAATTCCATAATAAGCCATTATATACTTTTTGGGATGATTGTAATATAAATTTTGATTGATTAGTCCTGTATCGAACTTATCTGAAAGCAAATTCAATTACCATAAAATTGCAGTTGACTAAATTTTGGTCTTGATATTTTGACCCAAATTTTTAGTTGAGAAAAATCTGACTCATAATTGCCTGGTATGAAAATGATAAAAAAATTTCAATGTTATTTATTGTAGCTAGAAAGAGTATGGTCCATGTACTGTCCTAATTTGTCATTTGATTGTTCATAAAAATGTCTAATATGTGCATAATCCTATGGCCAGGTGACTTTTTTCATTTCACATTTCTTCTTTAACAACATATGTGAGGTGAAATACATGCATTTACTAAGTTTTTAAAGAAGCAAATGACCACTGCTTTGATTTTTTACCGTGATATTGTTAATCAGCATCTTTTTGACGTAGTAATATCATTCCAGGAAAATTTAACTGTACTTTTACTTTTTAAAAGGCTGTTTGGCTTACTTTACAGGAAGATTCACATACATACCACTCAATTCCTAAGCATTTATATTTCTGATAACTAAACTTCAGGTTTTACTCGTATGTCACCTTACCTATGCATTAAAAGTTGTATTTAACCTTTTAAGAGTTAAAATAATAGTGCTTTTGATGCGATATGAAAACTTTTGGTGGTATAAATATAGAAAGTAAAGTTTAGGTGTTAAATATGTAAATATATAGGAATTGGATGATATGATGCCCCTATTTTATATGGATTACAATGCATGAGATGTGAATGAAATGAATTATGAAGTAAATTTATTTTACTTTCCCGCTTAACATTCGAATCATAAGAAGTTATTGGACAATTTAGAACTTATATTATTGGTTGAAAGTGGCCGCAAAATTTATATCTTGTTCATGATTATGCAGTACGAGCTGCAATATTTGGGACACTTTACATAATTACCGGGAATCGTATCTGGTTCTTTCCGAATATCAATGCGGAGGAAACAACGTTCAGAGAGCTGGTCCGATTCTGGCCCAAAAAAGAGGAAGGCGAACCAATTAAGTGGACATCAAGGCTCTTCTATGCCATCATCTCTGTGCTGATCATACTTCTTCTCAGGCACCATGCTCCGGATGAAGCTGCCAGAGCTAGGTTAGTCATTATTTTTTTTAATGATTTTCTAATTATCATCTCGTAAGTTGAGCTTTTCTTACTATGCTTTGAGGGAAAAAAAAAAGAAAACTTGTTTATTGATACGCTGATTATTATTTTTTAATCCATGTAAGCCGCAATATTATTGGATTTAGTTCGAGATGAGTAAAATATAAATCTTGATTGATTCCACATATATTGCATTCATCTCAAGATAAATCTAATGATTTTGAAACTAATACTTATTGAAATTTAGTTAGGCTATTTGCTGTGAACCTAATCATCAAAACCACATAAATCAGACAAAGTAAAGAAAATGTAGTATAACTTACAACTTCAAGCTTTTGCCCAAAACTCCAAAAATCCATGGAGGAAGAACACAGATATGAGATACCAGTGGAGGAGAAGGGATGATCCAAAGTTCATTTAATTTTTGCATCCCCTAATTCTTCTAAAAAGGTGTTCATACAATTACAATACCTGCAAGAATCTATTTCAACACCTATTAATTATCTAATATTCAGTAATATTAACCTGTAAATTACTCATTACATTTACTCCCTAACCCCAGCTTTTTAGCTTACTGATTGCTTGCTGTTAATTCTAAAGGTATCAATCAAAAGTTTCAAATATAATTGATGAGATGCTGGAGTGGTCTCCCAAATTAGCACTGTCGGGAATGTTGGAGAAGCAGCCGCAGCCTGAGTTCAATGCATCTGAGAGTGCCTCGGCTGAGGAAGCAGCAAATCACCACCAGAACACAAAGACAGTTAACTCTGATGGAGTTGAGAACCAAGATGTTGATGTTGATGATGATGGTAATGTCACATAAATTTGATGATATTACTGATAATTTTAAATGGATGAACAGTATTTACATGAATTATTTTAAAGCTCTTTAGTTCTATTCTCTATTGCTTCATCTCTTTTATAAGTTGCATGTTTTCGTTACATGTATCGTGAAAGTTGTTTTGAATGCTAGGATATGCAGAACTCAAATATAGCTTGTTTGACATCAGGTTATCAGAAGTTTGGTTATGTTACCATTTGATTAAGCAAGAAATTCTAATTGTAATGAATTTATAAGATGAGAATCTTTACTTCTTATATGATAGCTTAAATATTTTTTTATTAATATTGCAAACCCTAAATAAAAAACATCAGATTTAATATAGCAGCACACAATAAATGTTTATTTAAGACTTCAACAGGGAGTTTCTTTATAACCAAGAATAATGTCCAACGAAAATTGATTGTCCAACACCTTTTTTTCTGAAAGAAAACAACAGATATTTGAGCTACAACGGACATAGTACTACAACCTGCTTTTCTGCAAAGAAAAGTCTCTTTTCAACAAATTTTAAAAAAAAATCACCTCTAAAGCACTGTTCCAGTGTTCACAAACCACCTCTAACAGACAGAAATGAACTAAGAGGCTACAGGATAACAGCTTCTGAAAATAAGTAAAACACAGTAAATTCACACTAATGCAAAAGCACCTGCAGAACTTTCAGCCTATGAGAAACAACAATCAAAGGCTTAGGGTTCAAATTTCTTGATCGGAATTCAAATGCAGCTACTCTTAACATTTTTGTCTTCATGGAGATGATGGCGCAGAGGTTAGGCAGTTCGCCAGTTGCATAACCATTTCCTCTGCTCTTCAGCTCACTGTAAAAAGATGGAAAAAGAGAGGAGGATAACAAAAAAAAACACAGCCAAGAATGAATTGCCTTCAACCAAAGTATTCACCAGTGAGCTCTGAGCTATCTCCCTAGTGTTTTATAGTCACCACTGTGACTCTAAGCAATGCCATAATACAAACATTAGATAGCCAGCGCCCTTTTCTTGGGCTGGTTCAGCAATAGATCAGCTCTCCTTTGAGCTGAGAAATCTGCTTCATCCATTTTCTCAACGAGGCTAGCATGGAAAGGAGATAACTGCAAACCAGAACTGTGCTGATAGCCATCACTGTTGCTGTTGCGTTTATGAGGTTTCAGCACTCCTTGTAGAGCAGGCATCATCGTGCCTGCAGAATCTGGATTTGCTGTAGTATTAGAGAGAAGAGCTTCGTAACCAAAAGAAGCAGATGATGAAGTGTTGGAAGAATCCGCATCGTTTTTCTTCGTGTTGAGAAAACGGCCACCGCAGCCCCTCGCTCTCCTCATTGCGTGCAGGTGACGAGATTCGTGAAGATATGGCTGCAGAGTATAATAAACTCTAGTCATATATTAGTAAGCCAACAGCAGAGCAGGAGAGCAGGAGAGTAGATGAGCAAAAGCAGAATACTTGAAGCAAGTTATAATCATAAGAACACAGCAGCTTAGGATGTAAAAAAAATGGTGTTGTGGATCAAACATTTAATATAAGCCGTCTTGAAGGGACTGTGTTGCTTAGGGTGTAAAAAAGCCGAGCCGAGCTCAAGTCATGCCTAGCTCGAGCTCGAGTCGGAGATCAAATGGTGAAAATCAAATTATAATGGGAGCTCACTGAAGAGTCATTGATGGCAGGAGAAGAAGGAAAAGTGACACGGCAGCTTGCCGAAGAAGGCATCAATATGACAATCAATTGGTAATTCCAGCCGTCTCGCAGGCTAAGGCAAACTTGAATTCCAGCTCATTTACTAAGCGAGCTTGATTTTGTGCTCAAGTTAGAGCTCATGCCTTGATTAGCTGCTGCCGGTCCCCTATTTTCTCTATTTTGAATAATAATTAGGGTTTATTTTGCTTTGGAGTATTTAAATATGTGATGAATCTTGTTCTAGGGACTTCTTGCTAGATTTATGTTATTTGGACACTTTTCTCCTTGATTTCTCCTATTTAGACCCATTTTTCTTCAAGTGGTGTGAATCTGTTTCGGTGTGCCGTTTGCCATCTAACAGCAGTTTTTCGTCATTCCTCAACCAATGTTGCCATTTTCACTTCCATTCCTCATCCTACAACCCTCCTAACCCGTCTCCTAACCTTACCACCATCTACGAACCGTAGATTGGTGTCACAAAGATTTGCTATTTATACTAACTGAAAAACTAAGGTAAATACATGCTCTGGCATTCTTTTAGTATAGTTTCATTCTTTCATAATTTATATGGTAATTTTCAAATTTGTTATCCCTGAAGATCCCCATTGCCTATGAGAATGGATTGATTTCTCCAATGATTTTATTCCCAAATTTCATGTCAATTTATGTGGTTTGCATCTAACTTCAGGTCACTTTGGTTGTAAGCGTGCTCCATAGTTTTCAAATTTTTGGGTTTAAACGTGAGTTGGAGTTTTATGCGCTTGGGTTAGGCTTTTGGGTTGTTTTGCAAAAGCAGACATTTTTATTTTGCATGCTAGCTACATTTTCGATAACACAATTTTAGGTTATAACAACAGTACCATTCCCACCATCTGCAGTTCCAACAATAATGCCCTCGCGCTATGAGATCATTGCTTGGAATATTTACAGGGCTTGCTAGAGCCTTCAAGTCTTAAACATGTTGTCATTTATTAAGTCCACTTAAATCAAGATTATCACTCACGATAACCGGGATTTGAAATTTGGATAATCTGGAAGTAAAAAGGAATTTTGTGCCAACCTTATCTATAAATATAGGTGGATAAATCTATAAAAGGCCATTTATTATTCAGTTTTGATTCAATAAAATTTCATATTCTAATTTGTAATCTTCTGGATGCTCATTGGATGTGTCATTCTTTCAAGTGAGATGCATGTCTAACTATCTAATTCTGAGAGAAGTTATCTCATTGTACCACACAACATGCCCTGAATCTTCTTCATTTTATTTCATTAATATATTTTCGTTTAACTATTTTGTAATAGCCCTGCCAAATGCCAACTCTCAACCCCTTTGCAAAAGCGCCATGGTAAGAAATGCGGAAACTTTAAACCAATTTTGGCATGTTTGGTGCAAAGAGTAAAAACTGTGCGATATTTTCTTAGTATAGCGAAGATAAACTCATAAGCAACATTTTCAACACACCTGATAAATTCTACATGAGCTTTTCTTAGCACGGTGTGAAAAATATGTTGCAAAATTGATCCTGTGCAGTATCACACACATACTTGGAGTGGTAGATTTCACTGCACTAACCACGTACATCTTTTTAGCCAAGTGGGCAAACTCAAACTCTCAGTAAATAAAAGAAAACAAAATTATAAAATAAGAATGAAATGAAAAAAGATTATATATTTCGAGTATTAGACATAATTAAATTCAGGGGGAACATGCATTAAACTTAAGAACTCGTCGATAAACACGAGCAGAACCATCCTATACAAGGCCTTCTAGACGACCCATATAATAAATTAACTGAGAATTGAAATGGTGAGATGAGCTTAGGGTGGGTGCTTCCCTATTTATAAGATGAAAAATTGATTCTTTATGGGGCCAACCACACTAAATTGCAATTATTTATGGACAAAACTTGTGTTGTCTTTAAAACACATGAAATATTTCAACTTGTGAAAACCATCAATGCAAACATGATACATGCTTGCAAGTGGCAAAAAGGTCATCTTTCAATTAAAAAAAAAGCATGCTTATTAATAACAAAATATTCATTCAATCAACATTCATGGTGTTGCTCTATAGTCTCCAATATAAGAAATAAGGAGAAAGAAAAGAAAAAAATAACATTAAAAAGAGAATTGAAATAAGGAGAATGAAAAAAAAACTCACCAAATAAAAAAGAAGCCTCATGTCAATACAAAAAAAAAAAAAAACAATCCAAAAATTCTATAGTTTCCAATGCACAACGCTAGAAAAAATCACATCACAAGGCTAGAAAGAATCACACCAACAAACACTCTTAGTAAAAACTAAAGTAGGACAAGAATATAGCAGCGAATAAAATGCAATAGAACATCATTATCTGCCTCAAACAGTTTTATTTATAACCAAAATATTAGCAAAAAAGGTACAACAAGAGGATAGGTTAATTGAGAGAGTAAGGAGTACTTCAGAATCTACTTTTACAATTCTTCAAATTTAAAAGCAAAAAACACGTTGAAGTAAATATATATTTAATCTATAAAACACACAAGAACAAAAGCGTAAGCAAATGCATATGATGATTTATGCCAAGTGATTGGACATAAGTGCTTCAATAATTAAATCCCTTGATTAACATAAGAATAAGTCAACCAACTCAATTTAAAAACATAAACCAAACATGTGATCTAAGATTATGTTTATATAAATTTAAGCAAGCAGCAATTTTAACTTGTAAGCACAATATAAATGATCCACTCAACTACATAAGCTATGATTCACATAGAATAACAAACATCAAAGCCACACAAATTTCCACACAACAAAAAGATCAATGTGCAGATCAATTAGACCTAAACATAACATGATGATTACTAAATATAAAACATAAAACATTAACATATGAATCACAAAATGAACATTCGAATCTATAAAATAATTATGTAAATGTGGACAGGTATGAAAAGATCAAAATAGCAATATACAAATATTTTTTGATGATTCGACACCCAACAGTACACTCGCGTAGGAATCCACTACTACTTCCTTATCGAGGAGAAGCCCTCTTCTTAAACATGGAGTAGCCTAAAACACCCATTGTCCTACACCCAACATACAAACCTACTTCGAGATTTGCAAACATTTCATTCTTAGAGATGTACAAAGCTGAGATACTAAGAAGTGGAGGATTAAAATTCCATGGTACAAAGCCGAGATACTAAAAAATTAGCAACCTGAAGGTACCTTTCTAGATTTTACGATCTTTTTTTCAAGTTCAGCCTTGGCACGTGACTGCCTTCTTCTCAAAATTCCATGATACTGTTTTGCATTTACATAAACAGGCTCCTCTGCCATTTCCAAGGGCAAAGGCATTCGAGCATGTGGAATTCCGACTAATTGAGGATGCACCTGAAGGAACACCTCTGTAATTAATTAGCAATAGAAGAACTGCACAGGAATTTGCTTAATGAACTGATATGAGTATCCTGTGATTCAAAAAACAATGATGTTTTATTGGGGCTGGGGCATTTATGTACGTACCACCCAACTCTGATGAATTTACATATCTAACATCTAAACTTTGCTTTTTTACAATTATATCCCCCAAATCTTTCATATCACATAAAAAATATCATTTTTGTTAACTTTTAAAAAGCGAAATATGTCTTTTGATGCATAAGAGAAGTTTGTGTTAGATATGTAAATGCATAGGAATTAAGAGGTGTGTATGTAAATATTCCTATTTTATTTAAAATGAAAGTTAATGGCAGGCTCGTTAGTAATTACACTTACCAAAGCCTGAGGCAGATAGGCTGCAATCATACCATGATATGGATCAGAGAATGAATATGCTGCACATGGCTGCAAAAGTATAAAGAAAAATATGAACATGCACAAGGTGAAATATTGAGCAGAAAGTATCCATGGTTGTTGGATCAACAAAAGCCTATATATGTTGGCTACAATTCAAAACAAGATTGACATTGAAAAAAGTGAATTATCCAAAACACGGAACTCTAATTATTAAAAAAAAGGCGTATATACATACATATCATGCAATTCTTATGTATTTACATCTTTCCACGCCTAAACTATCATAGTTACACACACAACATTCAAATCTTTAAATCACATAAAAAATAGCACTCTTACCAATTTTAAAAGTGACATGCACCTTTTCATGATAGGTTTAAAGCAACAAAGATCTATGTATGTAAATATTAAAGTTTATGTGCGAGATATGTAAATACATAAAACATGTGTACTAAGAATGCAAATTTTCTGTAAGAAAAAAATTGAAGGGAATGAATTCCATACAACTGATTGGCCAAGTTCTAACTGAGTGTGAGGCATGAGATATTCTGGCATCATTGGAGGCAACAAAGGGGAGATAGACTGCATTTGTTGTTGTTCCTGTGGGGAATTTCCATCTGACCAGAAATGGAGTTTGAGAATTAGAATGAATATGTGCACATCAATAACAAATAATTTTGGTCATGCCACAAAAATAACGTAGCTTCTGTAATAAATACTACAGATGTCATCAGAACACACATCAGTGCAACCAATAAATTGCTCGGCTTAATAAATTACTACAGTTTTAAAAAAATAGGTTTCCTAGTATGGTTTACAGAGTGATTGGGTCGCATTGAAACTATACAAAACCAATATTCTATGATGAAAAACAAAACGAAAAATCATATTCCAGTTATGTGCATTCATTCAGAAAACAAATGCTACTTTACATTAATGTTTTCGTTGTTTCCTTGATTACCAATAGGATAAACAACAATATACAAGAAGCTTGAGAATGGTGATTCTAAGATAAAATTGTAGCTACAAATATACACTGATTAAGCACAAATCAAAGCATACCACAGTCATAATGAACAAAATTCAATAGAGCTATCTGCAATTTGGCTGTATGGATGAGCATGCCCCAGAAAGAGTTGTGCATATTAGTCATGATCAACTCGACATCAACCTTCTATCAGTAAATAACATAATTTGCATAATATGTCCTGCTATAATTCACTATTTAGCAAAAAAAAGGGCATAACATTAGAGTTAAAAAATTCGAAAATTTAAATAAATACCACTCAATTCTTATGAAATGACATATCTAACACCTAAACTTCACTTTAACATACATGCCAATGCATGAAAAGGTGTATTTCACTTTTTAAAAGTTAAAATGGTGGTATTTTTATGTGATATAAAATATTTGGATGGTATAAATTTACAAATTAATTTTTAGATGTTAGATATGTAAATACATAGGAATTGGATGTATGTATGTAAATGCCCCTATGACTTAAGCATGCTTTAGACTTGCTGAAGCATTTAACATAGGAAACTATTCAAATCGAGCTATAACAATAGTTACCACATAAAACATCATTAAACTTCTTTAAGCCATTATTTATATCTAATTCATTCTCATATCTTTTTGTCAGTGAACCATTTTATATAAAACCAAACATTTCAAATAGTTTAGAAAATAGTAGCAATATTTAAACTCAATAAAGCTTCCACAAATATGCTTCAAACATATCCATACTTCGTATGTCTTTGACAGCGTCCCTCTTTCCATCTGCACAGTCCTGTTGTTTCAATTGGCCAATATTAGACTCACCTCCTACAAGATGATGCACTACATGAGATTTCGATAGTCAATATGGTATAAAAGCTTAAGAAAAAACACGCCAAATCCAAGACGACCTCGCCACCATAGATGAGAAGGAAAGACTGGTGAAGGGTTGTTGTGGGAGCTGTGTTCCTCAGAATTTTCGCCATTGGATCCAACCTCCATGCTCTCGTACAAGTGTAAATCACCTGGTCAACTACAAAAAGATATTTATTAAAGTGTGTAGATTACGTTGTAGGGGGTGTGGTAGAACTAAACACAAGAATTTTAGGTATGTGATGCCCTCCTATTTTACCTATATGGGAAAGGTAAAAGAGAAATATGCATGCATACCACACAAATCTTATTTATTTACATATTTAATACCCAAAGTTTGATATTTACACTTTTAACACCTTGGTGTCACAAACTAATGCTTAAAAGGTGTATTATCCTTTTAAAAAGGTAGTGATGGTGGTTTATTTGATGTATGGTTTATTTGATGTAAATAAGAATGTTTAGGTGTTAGATATGTAAATACATAAGAATTGTATAGTATACATGTAAATTCCCCAAGGTAAAAAAAACAATGAAAGGGGCTAAAGAAAAGGCTAATTCTAGTTTCAAGCTCTTTAAAAAAGACACTTTGACCCTGCACCCACACCTTTTTTCCATTAATATAACCAAGTACCACTGAGCTAATGCTTGTTGGTGTTTTGTTTATATATCATGTTGGTTCTTTAGATAAAAATATGTTATATTAAATATTTTAAGATAGAGGGAAGGAAACATGTACTTCAATCAAATTAGGAATATGGATTAAGAAGACAAACAACTTTGATGATGAAGATATCAAGCAAGGAATAGAAGAAGAAAACAACCTTCTGTCGATTTGCTACATGAGTTTTAACCATGGAGAGTTCCATAAAATAGTAACATGTGTGAATCATGAAATATAAATAGAATTACCAGTCGAACATTTAGCTTAAAATACAAAGTGAATTTTATTTATTGTCTCACCAGGGCTGCTCCAAAAAGCTGATCCTTATAATTCCACAAGTTTATTGTCAGCCATGTCTAGATAGCCCATAAAACACTCACAGGTGAAGATTATGCATATCTACCCTTTAAAGATATACAATAACTTTTGAATAATTATAGCGAACAATCATTTTTTGCTTTTTTACAAATCAAAAGTTATGGGAAATTAAAACAGTAAATAATAAATTAAAAACAGGCCAAGCAAAGCATGCTCGTCATGGACCTCTAAATAAACAATAAAAAGTAGAATTCAAACGAAGAACAGCAATACTCAATACCAAATTAAAATCATAGAGGTACCTCAGATAGCAGGAAAAGCATAACAATGTCAATTATCACTACCAAAGGAACCAAAATCATAATAGATGTGCAGCATGCTCAGCTAAGAACAGAAGCAGAAAGAGATAAATGTTACCAAATCATAAATTTCTACATAACCCCCAAGTTTCTTCTGCTAGACTAAAACCATTTCTAGTAAACATTCTAAACTACAGTCACATATCCATCAACCAACAGACCCCGAAACAGCAAAACCCTAAAGAAACCGAACCAAGTCCGAAGCAACATCAATACCCAACATCCATGAGATCAGAACACTAACCCTTGCCACAAGCAGCTTCAACTCAAAAGACCTAAAATAGACGATGGCTAATTCTCCATCAAAGAATCTTCAAAGAACTCTCCGCACCTCCGGAACCAGAATTCCCAAAACCCTAGACTTAAAAAGACACCTACACTTCACCAAAACCAAATATGTAAAGTGAAAATGAAACAGCAAAGTGAAAGGGATTGGGCCTTACAGGCAGCACCCGCGACATACTATTCCATTCCATTCCATTCCATTGATTCTCCCTCACTAAATTCACAGAAATCCGCTCGCAATCTCTATAAAATAATCAAAAATCTGCAGCGCAGAGTAGAAATTTCTCTCATCTCTCTCTCCTCTCTTCCGGAATCGATCCCCTGTCTCCTCTATCATTACATGAGCACTCCAAACCTAATTTGTGTTGATAGTTTAATGATATTACATAATAACTCACTTGACATTTGACGTCCGTTCATTAGACTCTGAATGTATTAGAAGTCCTGATATATTATTTTTTTCTCTTTTAACAAATAAATGACTTTTAGTCTAAAGTTGCGGACGATAACACGTGATAATACAAATAAAATATTTCAATATTACAGTTAATAAGTTTAAAAAAAATCATAAAATTGTTAAAATATTCATTTTCTTACATATTTATTCACATATCTAACATTAAGTTCAATTTTTTTATATTATTTTAGAATTATAGTTATTATTATTATTTATTAAAGTGTAAAAATAGTTCCGATTATTTTAAAATTCATATACATAAATTTATAATAATAATAATATATTATAAATATAAATTTCGAAATTTAGATATTAAATATATAAATTTCTAAAAATGGAATGATTGGCGGCTGCCGGTCAGGCTTCGAATAGCTTTATGATTTTACCGGATCAACAAAAGGTCTTTTACGTACATGTCATCTCGGGTAAAAACGTAAGAAGGTACAATTGCGAATTGTATAGGCTGGCCCACTGACGATCCCGTGCGGGGCTCCCGTAGCTTTCACGGGGGCGTTCTCGTCATTTCACCTGCAGCCCTGCAATCGCACAACAGCTGCAGTCCAAGCCACGCGTCGGGCTATCTTCAACAATCAAGGTTCACTGCCACGTGCCGAAGGCTAAGGGATAACGGGGCCGTGACGGAGGCGTCTACGATCTCCACGTGTCAAAAAGCCATTCTCTCCGTACACGTGGCGGTCATCTTTTGTCGCTTATGGGTATACTGAGTTATTTCATTTTATTTTGAAGGGTATTTTGGGAAACTCAGCATTGGTTGAGAAAGGTTAATGGATAATGAATGATGAGTGTCGGGCAACGTGTGAAGATTCCAAATCACTCATTAATCAATAATTAACGTTTTAATTATGTTTATGAATGATTAATATTTTAACTAGTACGAATATAGTTAAATATAATTATAGGGGAGGGATGTGGCATTTGGATTACTAATGAAGGCATTAGATTCCAAATTAAGAAAATAAAAATAAAAGGAAAATAAGAGGTTTGGCCAAATAAAATTAAATTTTCATAAACATGATTTGGAGGGTTTGTATGTGAAAATAAAATTTTAAATGTAATTTTCTTATTGGATAATTTGTGAAAATCTAAAATTTTTAAATGATATTATACTTGGAAATACATATATTTTAAGCTAAAAATTTTAATATACATGTAATTTGCATAACATAACTTGTATAAAGCATTGAAAGGTAAGTTTTAGCACATTTAAAATATTTTAAGATAGACATGAATTATTTCATTGAATAAAAAAGAATGAAGGGAAAGTTGCTTGAAATTGAATTAGGTTTTTAGCTTATCATAAAACTTGTAATTTAGATGAAAAAATGTGATTTTGAGAAGATTAATTTGATTGTTAATACATCACTAAAAGTTTTCTATGGTTGACAAGGATTTTGATTCAATTAGTGAATTAATAGCAGGACCAAACTAACCCTATTTTTTTAAAAAAAATGTAGTGAGAATATGCATGTCAACAAAGCTAATATAGTGAGCTTTATATTGCCAAATTTTGACTTTATTAAGATACTCAAATACTTGAGAAAGACTATTATACAATGTGAGGAATATGGTTCATTCAATAGAGTATTTTGCTTTGCACTCTAAATTACCAAAATATCCCCTCTTAAGAAATCTATAACAGGTCATACTTTTCACACCTTTTGATAAGTTGAGATGAGATCACAATAAGTATATTAGAGAATCTAAAGCTACACTATCAGTACTCAAATCCCCTCATCAATAAAGACTAACATATATCATCATCCTCAAGGCTAAATCTCATCATCACCAAAGGTTGACACATGTCATTGTTAACAATGTTGAAGCCAATCATCACTGAAAAGGTAAATGTTTGTACTCACTAGCAAAAAAGATGCCTATTGTTAACGCAAACATGTACACTTTCCAATCTCTAACAAGATGGATGCTCTTCATTGGCACCAATGTTGATATCTATCATCTTTAATGAGAAAAATTCTAGTCAATAACATAAAAACCAATGCTCAACATTGCCAAACATGACAGACATCCACTATACACGTTGATGTTCATGTATGTAATCACCATTAAAGATGATAACTATTGCCAAAACCAACATTAATGTTCCATATGAACAACAAGTCAGGTACTTGTTAACGACATCAATATTGATATCCATCAGCTCTATCATATTCAATGCCCACCTATTTAGACATATTGAGCCAAACTATACGCGCTCACACACACACAGATATATATATATATATATATATATATATATATATTGATTGGGTGTTAATTTCTATATTTGGTCAAAATTCTTTTATGAAATCAATAAGGAAGTGACAAATCCTACTTAATTTGACATATTATTAATTAAGAAGTGCTGATATGATTCTATTTTAAATATAATTTTATGTGGATAATGTATCATATCAAAATATAGTATTATGTTTGATTTACTCAGCAAAGACCAATGTTTGCTTGTTGGCAGGTAATCAGTCTCACCTAAGCAGCATTGTCAGAGTTTCATGGCCTTTTAAATTGTTTTTAGCTTATAAGACCTTGAAAAATTTTATATTTATATGACCAACCAAAGTGATGAACTATAAGGAAAATAATATTCATTGCTTTTGCGTTTTTATCCTCAAGTTCGTGGTAATGTTTAGACATTACGTATATGCAAGGTTGTAAATGAACCAATGCGAACGATAAGTAACTCGTACTTGTTCGACTCGATTAATAGTCGATCAAATTTTGATAAACAAGTTGAAATATTTTTATAAGCACTTGATTGTTAAATAAATAAGCCTAAAGACTATCCAAATTGTTAATTCAAGTTCACTAATAGCTCGTAACATATTTGATATATTATTTAAATAATTTTTTTTTAAATAAAATTAATTTGATTATATAATTAGTAATAATATATTATAATTTAATATGAATATGGTTACATACATATCACCCAATTCTTATGTATTTATATCTAAGACCTGAACATTACTTTTTATATTTAAACCCTAAATCTTTTATATCATATAAAAATTACCACCATATTTCATATCACATTAAAAAAAATATCACTATTTTACTTAAAAAAAAAAGTAAAATACACATTCTCATGCATTGATAACGTGGCATGATTGAAGTTTACATGTAAGATGCAAATACATAGAAATTGAGGGCTCTGTTTGCAAATATTCCAATATAAAGAAGCCTAATATTCATGTTTGATCTTCCTCTTCATAAGTTCTTATAATTAGCTAACTTTTAACTTATATGAACTAATTAGTTTTTTTTCAAATTAAACAACATCATTATCAGGTTCCGATTTGATTATAAATGTGTGTGATGTGCATCGATTAATTCATAAAAGCACGTAATCTGGCTCTCGAGCTTGTTAACTAGCTCATAAGACGAGTTTATCTACTCACAAGCTCGTCCCACCGGCCACCAACTCTTTTTCTGGAGTGCTTTCATAAAAATTGCGTTATTAGTTCGAGTCTACGGGCTGGCTGCTTCTAATACGAGCTGATTTCGAGCTCACAATTTGGCAGACTAGCAGAACTTAACCTTGACGGACTCGAGCTTGACTTGCTCGCACCCCTAGCTAAGATTGATATATACAATACCACACAATTCTTCTGTATTTACATATCCAACACCTAAAACATCATATTTGCACGCATAGCAATCAATTCTTTGATATCATATTCAAAATATAAAAATTTACACACCACACATAAATTTATGACCCATAACTCCATAAGTGTAAATATCAAAATTTGAGGGTTAGATATATAAATACATACATACCACATAATTCCTATATATGTATTTACATATTTAACACCTAAATTTTGTTTTTTTTACATTTATATGATCCAAAACTTCCATATCAAAGTAAAAATACTACTTCAATCCCAAAGAAATCATAATTAACTATAATTATATCACCCTTAATGGCTTTAATTAAAGATAACCCTTAATGACTCATTTGATGCCGTCATATAATTATGTCACACCTTCTGAATTATGGAGGTCTACATTGAAGTCTAAAGACCTTCATTTAAGTAGAATTAAAACGATTTAGATATCTCGAGTCTGTCGTTCAAAGCGATGGTGATATAGATGGGGATGTTAATAGTAGAATTCAAGTTGGTTGGTTGAAGCGGAGGAATGCTTCGGGCCTTTCGTGTGATAGAAAAATACCGCTTATACTGAAAGGAAAATTTTATAAGACGGTGGTCAGACATGCAATGCTCTATGACGCTGAATGTTGGCCTTTAAAAGAGAAGCATAATAATAAGTTAAGTGTTGCCGAGGTGAGACTGATTAGGTGGATGAGTGGTTTTACACAGAGACAAAATGCGAAATGAATATATCCGTGATAGGGTTGGTCGGCGATTGTTGAAAGCAGTCAGCGGTGGTCGTCGACGACATGAATGATGCTAAACTTAAGCTCCTCAAAGTTTCAAGCTCTTTCACAAGTCTCAAGCTCTCTTCTTTTCATGAGATGGGTTGGGCTATATTTATAGAGTTCAAAGTGTAATTAATGCAAGAATATGGATAACTTTGATCAGACTGCTTAGCAGGTTTTTCTTGATCAGACGATATTTGATGGACATTTAAGTGCTCTAATGATGTCAGAATTGAGTGATCTTATACTCGTCGGATTCATCTTGTCGAGACGCTCGATTTGACTATGAACTCGCCGGATTCAACATCCGTTGACCTTTCAAATGCATTTGAAAGACTTCCAAACATGGTTTAATGGCTTGAGCAACGCTCGATTTGGTTCAAATTGGATCAATGTTGGTACCATTGGGTCCAACTCGTTTAGCCGGTCAGTTGAACTACAAACTTTCTGAAACAGGTGCATTGGATGACTTTTAATTTAAATTTGAATAT